CGCCGTCGTCTGGGCCGAGGCCGCGCCCCGCGTCGCCGCCGGCCGCCTGGCTGCCATCTTCATCGAGTGCAGCTACGACGACTCCCAGACGGTCGACCGCCTCTTCGGCCACCTGACCCCGCGCTTCGTCGACCAGGAGATGCAGGCGCTCGCGGCGGAGGTGGCCGCCGCCCGCCTCGCCGCCGCCGCCGCCGCCGCCTCGCGCGAGGGCAGGAAGCGCAAGCGCGCCGACACGGGCGGCGGCGGCGCCCCCGGCGTGTCGCCCAAGAGCGGCGTCGCCAGTCGAAGGAGGACCGAGGCCAATGTTAATAGCAGCAGCAGCGGGGACAGCCAACAGCAACAGCCGACCCCCGACGACCCCGTCTCCCCCAGGACGGTGAAGCCGCCATCGTCGGGCCGCCGGTCCTCGGGCGCCTCGGGCATATTCGACCTGTCCCAACCGCCACCACCACCGCAGTTCAGCATCGGCGGGCCCGGCCACCACAACCACAACCACAACCACGGCGGCCAGTCCTACTACTCGCCGCACCTCGCGACCCCGACGGCGGAGCTCTCGCTCAGGGACGCCGACCTCTCCCTCCTGACGCCCGGCGGGGGCGGCCGGCACGGCAGCGTCGGCGGCGCCAGCGACGCCGCGGCCTCGGACCTACAGCAGCCGCTGAGGGGCCTCAAGGTCGTCATCATCCACGTCAAGGACCGCATGGACGGCAAGACCCCGACGGGCGACGTCATCATGCGCGAGCTGGCCGCCCACGAGGCCGAGAGTAGGCTGGGCGTCGAGTACATCCTGTCTAGCGCCGGCCAGTCCCTGTACTTCTGATGGATGGGCTGTCTGGGGCGGGGCTTTTCTTCTTCTTTTTTCTCTCTCTACCTACATCTAAAATTCCTCACTCCTCATGACTGTATGTTAGCGGCGCTACAGCAACCGGACGGCGAAGCACAACTTCCTTTTTATATTTTAGAAATCACTATATACCCGTGTACTACTGCCTTCTTTATTATGTAAAATCCGCTTTACAGCATACCAAAAAAGCACGCAAAAAGGAACAAAATTGATGGCATAGTTGTGCAGAAATTTTGGATCGAGCGGTATTTTTGTCCGCCCGGGGAAAAGAGGGGCTAGGGAAGCATCGCCGGTCCAAATCATGCCCGCCACACCTCGCTCAACAGAGAGAGCTCTGGCCCCGGTCACGTCCCATATCCTACTTTCCCCAATCAAACCGCGCCGCCGCAGCCGAGAGTTGTACTGCCTTCGGTGTACCACTCGGCGCCCGACCGCCGCGGGACCCAGTTGTTCCCCATGCAGGCGAGGGCTCCGAAGATGGGCAGGTTGAACTCGGCGACCCATTCGTAGTCGTTGTTGTCGATGGCGCAGCCGTGGTCGCAATAGTCGAACTTCCAGCCCGTGACGGCGGAGCCGCAGTCGCGCATGGCCTTAAGCAGCGTCTGTTGGCCGTATTCGTACGACGCCCACCCGCGCCCGTAGATGCGGTATGACGTCAAGAGAAGTTTATACCAGCCCCGGCACGTGCCGTCCCTTTTGGTAATCATATTGCGGTCCTTTTTGGGGTTGATCCTGTTTTTTTTTGAGCGAGGTTAGCTAAGCAAGGATTTAACTTATTAGGTTCAAAATTAGGTAATCGCTGGAATCAATAACCTACTGGTAGTTGTAGTTTCCTCGCACCCAGCGGCCGCCGAATTTGAAGTTGAGCGGGTTTTTGTCGTCGCCGCCGTCGCAGCTGTTGATGATGAGGTCAAAGCTCTCAAGGCACTTGCCCTTGTCGAAGCTGGAGGCGCCGTCGAAAAGTTGCAACACAAAGGTGTGTTCGTCGGGCGTGCCCTGGTGGTACGTCTTCTCCCACTTCCAGTTGATTGTATTATCGGGAGGCTTGATGTCATTGCAAAAGTCCTTGTAGTTTTCGTCGAGCCGGGTCCAGTCGACAAAGGCCTTGCGGCCCTCCTTCTGCCAGCACGTAAAATCGTCGCGCGCCTGCGCGCAGAGCCCGTCGTCGACGCCGAGAATCTGCGCGCGCACGTAGACCAGGCTCTGCAGCGCATAGGCGGCCATGGCCTCGTGGCCGTGCCTGTTGGGGTGGAAGATGCTCAGGAACGAGTCGGGCAGACCGAGCCCCAGCGGCACCCCGGGAAGGTTGTCGCCCGGGCAGCCCGGCGGTGCGGGCGTCCGCGGGTCCAGTTTGTGCAGCACCTCGGCGCGCGGGTTGGCCGACCTCCAGAGGAGGGTGTCATATATGTGCTTGCGTGTCAGGCGGCCCCGCAGCCGGTCTTGGTCCTTTTGGAGCTGTCGCGTTATGTCGTCGGCGGTGTCCGACTCATGGTCCGAGCTGTCAAGGTCCATCACGTCTTTAGCGACGCCGCCGCCGCCGCCGCCGCCGCTGCTGCTGCTGCTGCTGCTGCTACCGTTGCTGGGATCTCGACGTCGCCGCTTGGTTTCGTCGTGAGGCGGTGTTCCGCGGGCGGCCGTATTGAATTTGATGAAGAGCAGATCCGGCTGGTTCGGGTCTGGGTACCAGCCGCTCGATTTCGGGGAGCAGAACTGGCCGTCCACGATGCCGGGCCAGCTGCTCCAATCGGAGAAGGTGGCGCGGTAGCCTACCTGCTTGTCCTTGTCGAACTCCTCGACCACCTCTGAAATGGCCCTATTGATGCCGTCGACGAGCGCGTTGAGCTTTTTACGCCGCTCAATGGTGAGCCTTAGGGGGTTTTTGCCCGACTTCCAAAACTCCCACAACCCCCACCCCTTGAGGGCCCAGTCCTGCTTTGTAGGGTCGGCGCAGTCCTCGTTGTCCGTGTTAAAGAAGGGCGCGTAGCCTTGGTAGACGAGAGCGCCGTCCTTCCTGATCTTACCGTTGAGCTTCTGCAAAATCTGCCGGATGTTGCCTTTGAGGATGCGCTGGATATTTTCCTGCGCCTTGTCGATAATGGCCTGGCACGCGTCCTCGCCGTCCCAGGGCATGATGACGCAAGTCTTGATCATGGTCCCTAGGCACAGGTCGTTTCCCCCTGCCGTCATCATGACGACGTCCAGGCCGTTGCGCAGATGATTTACCTGGTCGTAGATGCCGCCTGTCCTGTCGCCACTGCAGGCCTCGAACTGGAAGTTCTTGACGCTGGACCCGAGCGAGTGGTCCACGATCTTGGCCCACGAGTAATCATATCTCGAACACCTCCAGTCATCGTCTGTCCTGATTTCGTTCCCCATCTGGTGTCCCGAGCCAATGCCTTCTCAGGGAGGGGGCCCGCGGGTTAGCCAGTTTGTCTTTGATGTCTGCACCACCACCACCTCCACCGCCAAACCACACATCACCTAACTCACCGGCTGTGAAGCTGTCTCCTATCGCGGCCCAGTTCTTGACCCACGAAAAGTCGGTCGGGTCCTTGCCTGCCCTGGCGGCAATCAGCCGAGCCGGGTTAATCGACACATCTTCCGTGGCAGAGAGAGCCAAGGCAGTGGCTGCAAGGCCGAGAGCAGCGACGCAACGAGCGCCTGTTCCTCGCGAGCTCATCTTGGGTATATCCAGGTGTGATGCGCAGAGGGCCGATGATGAAGAGAAACGATTTTGGGATGGGCGGGCGACGGTTAAGCTGTCAAAGCAGAAATCAAGTGGATTCTCGTGCGAGTTGATCGCCTGGCCGGGACCCCTAGGTTTGCTGCTGCGACCAAACACCTTTCGCCCGCTCGTCCCTACACAGTCGGAGCGCCCGTATGGGGGGCCATAAAGCCGAGTCTACATCCTTTCCGATGTCAAGACCTCAATCTCCGTGCAGCGTTTGCTGGTTCCTTGCCTAGATTCTCCTCCAGTCAGACTACAAATTTCAGCCCTGCTTAACCCGGCGGCACGAAAATTGCACATTACGACCGACATGAGCTGGGTTCAAGCCTTGCCTACTTATTGCCAATGGGTGGGAACCACGTACACAACATTGCAGCCTGTCGGGCCTTCATGCAGATGCAGCTAACATATTCTTGCGTGGTAGGAAATCGGTCGCTGTTAGCCGCTCACTGCGGCCTGCAGTCCGGCGACCTCCTGAGATTGTATGCACCCTAAGTCTTCAGGTACCTGTACTTGGCCTGATAATGGCAGCGTTGCACAGAGTTAGAAAGGGGCCCAGCGGTCTTTTCTCATGACATAGTATGGGGTGGGAGGGGATGCATCCCGCCACCCCGTTCGAACTCTGCGCGCTACATTTTATCGTTATCGTCCCTCCTTCTCACTAGAGCTGGACTCTGAAGTCATAGTGCTGCTGCCTGCCTGCCTGCCTGCCTGTTCCCGTTTTGCCTTGTCTTTGGTGTCTCGTTTGGATCCCAGTCTTTTGCCCGACACCATGTTTTCCATCACGCCGCTATTGCTGCTGCTGCCGCTGCTGGCTTGGCCGGCCTCCACGGTGGTCACCGCCCAGTCCGAGTTCTCAAGCCAGGTCAAGCAGGCCGACCACCTCCTGAGGGAGGCTGCGGAGAACGGCTACTCATGCTCGCGCACCAAGCCGTGCGCGCTCGGGTGCTGTAAGCTTGACGACACGGGCGTGGGCGTGTGCGGCGCGGGGCCCGACTTCTGCGGCGCCGGCGTCTGCTACTCGCAGTGTTCGTGGAAGAGCGAGTGCGACCCGGGCTGGGGCCTGCAGTGGAGCAACATGTCGACGTGCCCGCTCAACGTGTGCTGCAGCAAGTTTGGCTTCTGCGGCACCACGGCCGAGTTCTGCAACGGCAAGGTAGTTTCCAAGCCAGAGTGCTCCGGCCGCAGCTCAGACGCGAGGACAATCGGCTACTACGAAGGGTGGAACGGCCAGCGACCGTGCAGCAAAATGAAGCCGGCCGACATCCCGCTCGGTTACTACACCCACATCTTCTACTCGTTCGCCCTCATCGACCCGCACAGCTTCCACGTGGTGGCCATGGACGCCGAAACGGCATCGCACTACGACGAGGTTACGTCCCTTAAGGCGAGCCAGCAGGGCCTCGAGGTCTGGATCGCCATCGGCGGCTGGGCCATGAACGACCCGGGCCCGTACCGTACCACCTTTTCCAGCTTGGCCTCGAGCGAAGCCAACCAGAACGCCTTTTTTGATTCCCTCGTAACGTTTCTGTTGCGACACGATTTCGACGGCGTCGATATCGACTGGGAGTACCCCGTGGCCGAAGACCGGGGCGGCGTCGAGGCCGACTTCAGAAACTTTGCAAACATGCTGCGGCGGCTGCGCGCCCATTTAAACCGTTCCGGCAAACGGTTCGGGGTTAGCATCACCCTGCCGGCCTCGTACTGGTACCTGCGCGGCTTCGACATCGTCAACCTGGAGCCGCACGTCGACTTCTTCAACGTCATGACGTACGACATCCACGGCACCTGGGACAGCACGGTGCGGTCGCTAGGCTCGTACGCCTTCGCCCACACCAACCTGACCGAGATTGACCTGGGGCTCGAACTGCTGTGGCGCAATAACGTCAACCCGCAACGAGTCAACATGGGCCTCGGCTTTTACGGCCGCAGCTTCACTATGAAGGACCCGTCCTGTATGAAGGCCGGCTGCGAGTTCACCGGGGGCGCCAAGGGCGGGGAGTGTACGGGCACCCCGGGCGTGCTGTCGGCGGCTGAGATTGTCAAGATCCTCAAGCGCAGCGATGCCCGCATGACCCTAGACGAGGCGGCCGCCGTCCAGATCGTCACCTGGGATTCGAACCAGTGGGTCTCCTGGGACGACCAGAAGACGCTCGAAATGAAGCAAGACTTTGCCAACCGACGCTGCCTTGGGGGCGTCATGGTGTGGGCCATTGACCTGGACGACGGCACGCTCATCGACAAACTGGGGTCCAATCTGGGCCGACCAAAGTCGCAAGTCTACCGTGGCACCTATGACACGGCCGACGCCGCCACCTATACGACGGGTGAGAAGGCCGAGCTGTAAACATTCAGACTTTGTTATGTAGGTAGTTTTCCTTTTGTGTGTTACCATGGATTATTCTGGGGAGAATTTGAACAGGGACATGATGAACAAAGCGCAATGTTGCAGCCAGCCTGATGTGTGTGAAACTACGTAGGTGTTTGCCAAAGTTCCTTTATATCATTATAAAACTTAACGACCGGGGTTTCCGCACTGCCTATTCTTCTTCCTCATAAAGTCTTTGATAAAATCCGTGAAGCGGCTGCTCTTCTTGTTGTTGGGCAACACGTACGCGTCGGCCTGGGTGCCGGTGGACGTGGGGTTCTCGTACAGGAACCGGATGCCCGCGACATCGCCCTTGGACGGGATGGTGTTTGTGTGGATCTTTGCGCCGTCGTTGCGACGTAGCACGGGGGTGCGCCGGTCGTACACGTCTGGGTTCTCGGACGGATTCGTCGGCGGGCGGGCGGGGCCGATGCCGCCAGCGCCCGAAGGGTACAGCATGATGGAATCCCAGTCCACGTGCTCGTAGCTGGCGCCCATGTAGGGGATGGTGTTTGGGTGCCGGTAGTTGGCCTTGATGGGCAGCCGGTCGGCGGCCGAGAAGCCCCAGTGGGAGGCGGCGCCATGGTTCTGGCAAACGTCAAGCATAATCTGCTCTGCAGCGGCGGAGCCGGCGCCGTGCTTGTTAATGATCTTGCCACGCACGAGGAAGTAGTCCTTGAGCGCCGAGCAGTCCCAGTAGTCGCCGAAGACTTTGCCCTCCATGTCGGCACTGGATACACTGCCGTATGGGAAGCGCCAGAAAAAGGGGTTCTGGTGCTCGTGGAGGAGGCCCCAGGCGTGGCCCACTTCGTGCGCAATGTTGGCCACGGTGTTGAGCTGGCCGATATCGTCGCGCATCGACAGCTGCATAACCGGACCCTTGTATTCGGGGCTCAGATCGTCCAGCGGCGGCCGGCCGACATGCGAGCTGAGCATGCCCCGGTCGTTGTGCGAGATCAGCAGGATCTTGTCACTCTGCGAGTTCTTCGTGCACGCGGTGCCCGGCTTCGCCACCTCCACGTACTTATAGACGAGCCGGTTCAGGCCAGCTGTGCCGTCCTCGAATCCGGCCGCCCACATGGTGAAGGCCATCTCGAGCGGCTCCTTGAGCTTGTCGCGGCTGCTGGTCGAGTCGTAGCAGTAGCTGATGGTCTTGTCTGGCCAGAGGTAACTGGGGTTCATTCCTGAGCCCGCCCGGAGGCCCAGCCAGCGCTTCCTGTTGTTGCCAGTGGTGCTGTTGGTAGCCACGCGACGGATGGCATACCCGGCCTCGTCAACGGGGATGACCTCAAACCGGTGGCTGTCCAGCTGCACCTGGTGGCGGAGAGGTGCCTCCCAAGCCCGGCTGCCGCCGAGCACCAGCCAGGCGAAGGCGACAAGAACAAAGACAATATTCACCAACATGATTGATTGATAATGACGATGCGGGCTGGGAAACAAACCAAGCTGCAGAGAGTCTTGGGCGACGTCCTGCGAGCTGTGAAGAGGCAGAAGCAAGGCAGACCAAGATGTGCGAGGGCTTCTTAGCTGGGGGTAAACGGCAAGTAAACCTCCCGCCGCCTTTCATCAGGATACGTGAGGGCATGTACCGGTACCTTCAACATGCCCCGCTTATATGTGCAGTTGGCGCCTTAAGTTGCAGGTTCGGTGGCTTGCTATTATTGCATCTATTCGATCCTTCGAAATTGGGCAGCTGCTTGGGCCTTTATTGACTCTGCTGGGGCCGAAGGGGTGTTTTGGGGCGGAGTGTCCGCGTATTAGGCGCCTGATGTTCAATATCTGTGATGGATTCAAGTCGTTAGTGGTCACATCGTCCTGGCTGGTAGACTCGTGCCCTTGGCCGTTGCCCGCGTCGTCCTTGGACCTCGGCCTCCCTCTAACCACCAAGTGCCTTCGGCTTTCTCTGGGGCTCGCGGTGCAAGCAGGTTCTAATCGAAAGAAGAAAGAACATCACAGTTGTTTCTACCGCCTTATGGTGATAATTATGGCGACGGTGATAATGATAGGCCTCAAAGCTCTTTTCCTTATCGTGGTAGCCGCAGGCGTCGGACGGCCTGTCCAGGCGCAGACGGCGTCGACCCTGGTGTCTCCGAACTCCACCGCCACCCCTTCGAATGGCAGTTCCAGCTCGAGTAGCTGGTCCATTGTCACCCCAACCACACCGTATTCAACCCGTTATCCCATTACCAACCAGACCATCACCCTTCCATCCTCCACCGTGGCCTGGCCGCCGAGCAAAACGCAGTCGGGCCAGCCAAGCTACTGCAACAACTGGCACTTTGTCCAGGGAAGCCAGACGTGCGGCAACATTATAGGCCTCTACGCTACGTGGATGTCGGCCGACGACTTTTATGCCTGGAACCCGGCCGTCGGCCAGGACTGCTCCGGCCTGTTCGTGCACTACTGGGTGTGCGTGGGCATCCGGCCGCAGACGCAGATCTCGCTGCCGTACGAAACGGGCAACACGACGGTCGTGCTGCCGCCCTACTTTACCTGGACGCCCAAGCCCACTCCGACAGACCCGCCCAACTTCGGGGTACCCACGCCGACTCAAGGGCCACTCCCGAAAAACTGCCTAACTTACTTCCGGGCCGGCAGCGGCGACACGTGCGCTAGTGTCGTCAAAGAGTACCCCATGGTGACGCAGAAGCAGTTCCTGGACTGGCACCCCTTCCTCAACGGCAACTGCAATGGCCTCTGGGCTGGATACTGGTACTGCGGCATTGCCTTTGACTGGGATGATGTGCCCATGCCGCCCACCGTCACGACCAAGCCGTCACCCATGCCGACGGGTATTGCGTCCAACTGTGCCGCCTGGTACCTGACAACGGTCGCCGACACGTGCGACCTGATCACCCAGATGTTCGGCACCTTCTCCACGGCCGACTTTATCGGCTGGAACCCGTCCGTACGGAGTGACTGCTCCGGCATCGTAATGGAGAGTTACTATTGCGTCGGCGTCCCGGGCACCCCGACAACGCGAATCACGCCCGTTACGAAGCCGACGACGACCCCGGCCGAGGACCTCCCGACCCAGGAGGGAATCGCGCTCGACTGCGCCAGCTTCTGGCTCGTCTCGAGTGTCGACAAATGCAACACCATCGCCTCCCGGAGTGGCATCAGCCTGGGCGACCTTAAAGCCTGGAACCCGGCTCTTGGGGACGCCTGCGGCGGTCTCAAGCCTGACTTTTACGTCTGCGTCGGGCGGAAGTCGAGCACAACCAGGCCATCATCAGCTACCGTGACTAAAACTACCACAGGCAGCACGTCATCATCAGCCTCCATGACCGGAACAACCACAAGCAGCGGGCCCGGCGCGACGCCCACACCAATCCAAGGTGGCATGGTAAGCGGGTGCAAGAAGTTCTACCTTGTGAAGTCTGGGGACGGGTGTCGGGCGATTGCCAACAACCACGGCATCGCTCTCAGGTAAGTGTCTCTTCGTCCTTGCCACTTCTCCATCCTCTCTCTCACTCTCTCGGCGAGGAGGCGCAAAATCGCCCAGAAAATGTCCGGCTACCCACAACACCCATCGTAGCGACTTTTATCTCTGGAACCCGGCCGTGAATAACGGGGGCGAGTGCGCCGAGCTTTGGCCGGACGTGTACGTGTGCGTTGGGGTATAGTGGTTTGAAACGCAATTTATGACACGAAGAGAGAGAGAGAGAGAGAGAGAGAGAGGAGCCAACTTGGGTAAATCGTTCTTGTCTCTTGATTTCTTTTTTATTTGTTTGGTCGTTCCGGATCATGTAAGATGCGTATGACGCGGGTCCGTATTGTTCATGATGCCGGACATGCTCCCGTGGTTGCCCTCGTGGTCCCAATACAGGTCGCTCTCCTCCCCTTCCTTGATGTAGTAGAACGAGTCCCGGATTGGGTACCGCAGCCAACTGCCTTTGCCGTGGCCCCATTCGTCTCCTCGCTGCTCTTCCTCGAGGCCGAAACCCTCGAGGTCGCGAAACACATTCGACGGTAGCTCTACCACGGCGTGCTTTTCCAGCTGCGGCGCGATATGCGCCAATGCGAGGGCGACCGGCCGCAGCAGCAAGCGGTCGATTTCGGGCAGGCGACCGGCCGGACGCACACGCCAGTCGTTGTAAAGGACTCCTGAGAAAGAGACGACAAGGGAGCGCAAGTTCGGGAACGGAACCATCAGGCTGGCCAGATTCGGGAGTAGTCGCAATCTGCCCTTGTTGTAATCGAGCCAAGGGGATGGCCGGGGCAGGTCCCCAAAAAGCACGATCTCCCACCGCAGCTCGAGCGACCGTATCATGGCCAGGCGCTCCGGTAGAAGCAGGCGCCGGCAGGCGTCGGGGATGTGGGAATAGGGATCGGGAGGGCTGGACATGAGGATGTCCAGGAGGTCCCGGCTCTCGAGGAAAAACGTGTTGGTCGCATAAAGCACATCGATGCCCTCGACGTAGGCTTGCCGGCACGCGCGCAGCCAGCCCAAGGCGCCGACAGCATAATCGCATATGCCTGTAGCTTGGGCCTGTGTGCCTGCAGTAGCGGGCCTTGGCGGCGGCCACGCCTCGCACAGCTCGGCCTCGCCGCGGATGCAGAAGTCTCGATGCGGCCAGATATACGGGGAGCGGCGGCGGGCCGTGAAAATGCGGCGTTCCATGGCCGACCCGCGGGGGAGTAGACGGTGGCACACGCAGCCGTACCAGCACCACTCCCACTCTGACCAATCCGACTTCATCTTAGAACCCACATACTTGCCCGCCATCATCTCGCCCGGGACTCCCCAACCCACAACAGCGAGGCGAGTCGAGCTGAGGGGGGCCATCCCGCGGCCATGCTCGTACTTGCCGGCAGACGTGACCGAGCCGCTCGCCCGTTTGCCGCGCGGGGCGAGCCGTAGGTCCAAGTGGAGCGTGCGATCGCCGAAGGCGGCGACGAGCACACGCCGGCGCAGCTCCGGTGGCAGGCAGGCGAAGGTGCCGAGCGCGACGACAAGGTTTTCGGCAGCTGCAGCGGTGGTATTCGCAGGAGGCGTGATGGGCCGCTCCCGCTGAGCGGGGAGAAGAGGGAGAGGAGGCGGTGGCAACACCGGGAAGTTTATTTCCTTGTCGCTCCGCCGCTTTTTGCGGCCTCGAATCGTGTCTAGCAAGCTACGCATACTCGAAGAAAAATTATTTGATCGATGGGGGTGTCCGGTGCTTTGAAGGTCTCGAGCCGCGAAGCGGCTTGCGGTAAGGACCGCAAAAAGTGGGGCGCCGGACCCGCCACAGTATCGATTCTTGAAAAAGCTCGATAATGATGCCGTTCATCCAGAGCCAGCCCGGCTTTGCTTGAAATAAACTTCTGATGGATGGGCTGTCGGGGGGGGGGGGGCTTTTCTTTTTCTTTTTTCTCTCTCTACCTACATTTCAAATTCCTCATTCCTCATGACTGTATGTTAGCGGGCGCTGCAGCAACCGGACGGCGAAGCATGACTTTTCCTTTTTTATGTCTTAGAGATCACTATATACCCGTATACGACTGCCTTCGGGCTGTTTATCAATGCCAGCAAGGTTACCTACTAAGGAGGCACATGTGTCTCGATATCCATAGCTCTAGTTCCGCCATGCTCTGCTTGTTCCATGATGCCCCAGGAGGCATTGGTAAGGGGTGTACTCGCAACAAGATGGTTGTCTGCACTGGCGAGAAGCCGAATCCACAAAGGGGGGTGTAAGGTAGGCATCTACAACGCCTTCATCTTCCCCTGACAGAAAAGAAATGCTACACTGCCGTGGTTTCTTATCGCCACAATCGAACGAGGCACCTGAAGGATTTGGCCGCAACCAGCATAACGGAAAAGAACCTGGATTCGACTCCGCAAGGGGCCTTTTGTTCTAGCACCCGGCGGAGCGGGTGCGGGAGCTTAACCTTCTTGGAAATTGCTTAACCCCGAGCCGAAAAGGTGATTGACCGATTGGAGGATGGTGCAAGGAAGAAAAGATAGTTGTCGCATTAGAAAATGCTTAACCCCGCGCCGACCGTTGGTCGGTGATCAGGGCACCTTACTAGGAAGGAGGTTGTGATGGTCGGCCGATGATTTGCAAAAGAGGTCGGGGGCCGAGGGATTCGCTTCGGATAGCGCTTGTCACCGATCCACTTCACTGGTAGATATCTCCGTTTGAACATATATCGCCGACTTGGCTAGTTGACGAACTCGCTTATGCACGAATACCCTCTACATGAAGATTGTATGTGAATCGTTTGAGCAAGGCACAGATACGAGCCTGTTCAAGCGGCATAGAGTTCTTCAAAAGAATAGCTCAATTTCAGAATTAACACCAGGAGAGCATCGCGGTAGGGGGGAAGATGTAAAGGGTTGGCATGTTGTTATGTCCATCTTGAATGGCACAATTCGGAAGCTTTCCATAACCATTTACTTGTCCAGATCTTCTTTTCCAGTCCTTTCATCATTTAGATAGTTCCATGGGTCGCACATCCGTTGGCAGTATACATCAATGCGCGGGTAGACCTAGGCCAAGATGCTGCTTCTCAAGGCCACCAACGGTTTAAAGAACCCACAAGAAGGATCAACCGTAGATCCTGATTGTGGGTATGTGGATCCGGCTGGAAGATACAGAGATCTAGGGGGTTAAGAAGCGAAGCTGGCGGAATGGAGCGTCGAATACGACGAGAATTTTGTATAAATAGAAGGGAACAGACGCATCTTTGGCATTCTTAATCTTCACAAACTTTTCCAGACAGCACTCCGAAGCAGTCATCTTTAGCCTCTTTATTATCCATCCCACTGGGAGCCAGGCAAATACATCGTCAAGATATAAGAGAAGCAAGAGAACGTCCTCCAAAGACAACAACTCGACAAAATGCAGTTTTCCAAGATCCTCGCAGCCCTCACCCTCAACGCCGCGGCTGTCACGGCGGCTCTGAGCCTCACCCCGGACCACGAAACCGGCCTCGCCCTCACAGAGGCCTGCGCGGCTTTGTCTGCGCCCCTGACCGCCCCGGAGGCGAGGGACGAGGGTAGTGCTCTCCAGAAGCGGCGCTGCGCGTGGAGAAGCTGCGATGATTGCTACGCGCGCCTCGGCTCTTGCGTCAACTGCTCCAAATCGGGCTGGGATTGCGCTGGATGGTACGTTGCTTCTTGCTACCGGTTTTCTTTTCTTGCACGGTTTACACTATCGACTCCCCCTCCTGGATATCTACACTTCACAACCAACGAGATATAAATTTGGACGATCGCTGACTGCTAACAATATTCTACCACCCAATCTGTGTAGCATTGCCCACTGCGAGCGGACGTGCTGCTAAGCTACGTTGGACTTGAGGCAGCTGTTCCTCCACACAGAGACTTTGTGGAGAAGTGGAACTGAGGGGAGGGATGACACCGTCAACAAACATCACCAAAGTTTTCTTCAAGGCATAGACTTTTGTAGTCGAGCCCGAAAGGCTGTGTCGCAATAGTGGGCAGTCTTCTACTTTTTTAAATTTAACCCATTATACTTTGTCACTCGTTGCGTTGCTACGAAATATTGCAAGGGGCCGCCCGGATCTGGAATCTCTGGCGGATTGTCCCCAGAGATTCACTAGTGGCATGGACGAGAGTTAAGGGGTTTTCCTGGAGCGATTTTCCATCTGCAGGATTCAAGCAACCTCCGAGACGGGAAAGGTCGTCTTCGGCCCTGTTGGCGACTGTTTCCTCCGCGGCATCCTGTCCGACTCTGGATCAAGGGACGCAATGGAAGAGGGATTCCGACGTGATTACGGCTAGGCCTTTTGCTACCAGGCTCGTAATTATTTGCTTTGCCCTGTGAAATTGTTAGGGGAAGCCAAAAGCCATTTGGATGCTTATTTGGTCGTTTGGGATATAACGAAGATTATTTCGGGATACGAGCGTTTCGAAAACTTGGGGTTTCCCCGAAACTGCATGGAAACGCCTCTGGAAACTTTCGAGGAAAATGGTACAAGGCCTTTTCGAAAGGCCCTGGTAGTTTTTTTCTTCTTTTTTTTGGGGGGGTGTTCGGTGGAAAAAAGGTGATCCTGGCCGAGTGAACTTCCCCGGGAGTAGCCAGAGGTCCTCCTTACCAACTTTGCCGGCCCACACGACACAAACCATATCACCGCCGGCGGTAATCTCAATCGCGGCGGCGGGGGCTAGAAAGCTGGCGTTTCCATTCTATTCAGCTGGATTCACGAGCTTTTTGGACGCCCGAATACCGTAGAAAAAACTCACGCTATAATCGCGCGCTTGGGTTTTTCGAAAACTTCCTGCGGCGGCACATAAAAAACCCGGTTCGTGGACGGAGCGGTTGACATCCACGAGAACCTGTACTGCAAGTTGCTGAACAGTTTCCAGATCTTTACGCATAACGATATGGAGGATTGCAAGCCAGAGCTGGACGCCGCCAAGTCTTCCGGTGGCTCTCAGCTACTCGTTAGATCTGACCCAGTCCCCTTTGGTTTATGAGGGTAATTAGGTGATATTGGTGAGTGGAAAGGTGCAGCCAGATACAAGCCCCCTACTGCCAAGAATCCCCCATCCGGTCAGTCGCCACAGTGGCTCAGCGACTCCCAAGGCGTCACGCCACAACAGCGCGTAGTAGACCTTAGACACCCATGTGGATATAAGCGGCCCACAGCCTGGGATCGGTGCAGCGCCAGGGCCTGGCGTGCTCGCCGGCGGCCTCTGCGGCCGCGATGGGGTGGCCGTCCCTGCCGGGGCCGGCGGCCTCGCCGCCGTCGCGGAGGGCGACCACTGCGTCGCG